TAGCAAGAGCAGAGGATGAGACATGCAGATGGAGGAGGGTGGTTGAAAGAAATGTATGTTTCTAAAGCTAAACATGTCAGCTTTTGCTATCTCGGGAATTTACATGTATAGACCACCAGTCCCCTTATTGTTATTTTGCCTATTAACCTCTGCTGCTGATATCATAAGATAGGAATAAGATAAGCCCCCACCTCAACATAAAACCCATCAATGTGTAAAGTCAATAATGGGCAATTTAAACCGAGGGCAGCACCCATAATACAACCTACACAACAATAATTACGCTTCAACATCCGGGTGGACTATTGCTGGTGTTGTACTGTTTCTCCATCAAGACAATGACAGGCAATTTGTAGGTTCTGCCTGAAAATGTTTTCCATCCAAGCTGTTGTATTTATTGTAATGCAAATGAGGAAAGCTAGCCATGAAAAGGGCTACTCTTTGCTTTAGTTACTGGACTGCATTCACCATGAGAGTTGGGGGAAAGCTTGTTGCTGATTAAGTCAACAACAATCTTTCTATGAATACATAGGTAAAGTTAGGTAATCTACAAGGTTATCAATTCAACTAGCATTTGATTCTTCATTCAACAGGGCTACTCTGGTGGAACATGAAGATGGCAAACGAACCCTACTGAGTAAAACTGATCCTAATCAACGAGAAGCTATTGCTAAACGTCTGTTGACACCATCAACTGAAATAAGAGCCTCTGTTAGTCCTTGCAAAAAGGTAATGGCAAATGTGTTGATTAAACCCACGTGTCAAAATTGAACTGTAATAGAGTGGTTTTCAATTGAGTGTTCTGAAACCAAAATCAAAGTAGTCACTCTAGCCCATCACAAAGGCCACAGACAAGTTATTAAAAGATCAAAATTCAAACCAAATGTGTAAAGCCAATGCGAAGTGCAGAAAAATGTGTGTAAGCAAGATGCATTTATTGCCTTTGGTTTTACATCTAACAGGTTGGCGCAAGCTTTTTTTTTCAACTAGTTATGAAGTATTAATAATAGAAATCCAAGTAAAATGTGAATTATGATCAACACTCAATACATTGAAAACAGAAGTTCTAACCAAAAAGGTATGAAAATATGGACCAATAGCCTTTACTTCACAATGTAACAGAGGAACAAAGGTAGGTCCCAATGTTTTTTGAACTCTAGAAATCCCCTGTAATTCTTGTGAGGAGGAAAACAGAGAGACAGATTGAGAAGGTATTATTTCTGTATGTTACTAATGTATTATTTTGTTTCTTATCTCCCAACAGGTCTATAGACACCTGAAGAATGGTGATGTACTGTTGCTTAACAGACAGCCAACGTTACATAGACCAAGTATGATGGCCCATAAGGTAATTACNATGGCCAACTCTTGAGATATCTGTCAGTTCAGCAATTTACAAAACTGATTAAACTGGGAAGGATCAGTTGAGCAATTAGGAAAAGTCATGTGGTCTTGAACATGATTATTAATGGTAAACCGCAGACACCCTCCCTCTGATTTTTCTTGTGGAGAGTGGATGGCTATACACAGGCTAGAGTATTTGCACTGAATCTTGTTCCTTCTTTCACATACATGTAAATTAACTAAAATTCTGCTTCACGTTGTGTCCCCCATACCCTTTAGCTTGCTGTGTAAGAACAAAATAGTAACCTTGTTTTTTAAGTCCTGAAGAGTAGACCTGTCTGTGATTTGATTTGACCAGCCAGCACAAATTTCCAGTACTTGGTTCCTAAAGATGGGACACCACTCAGTGGATTGATTCAGGATCACATGGTTGCTGGAGTGAGGATGACTGTCAGAGGATGCATGTTTAAGAGGTGGAGATCAGCATTTTATTGTTCTCTTAGAGTGCTGAAAAACATTTCTGTGGCTTATTTTCCGGCAGGTGCTCCAGGCTGTTTTGTTATTAGGCTTGCTCTTCCCATGGATGCCCATAGAACTTATCATGAGCACCTTATTTAGCCTTGCTGTGTAGGCTACAAAAGAATCAGCTGATGAAATCTGCTCCTACCATTAAATCATGTAGGTCAGACTACCAGCAGCTTGTGTTCAGTGCTCTTAGCTTCAAGAACTGTAAGATAAAGGTGTTGAAACCATGCATTATGAAACCTTGCGAGCTTTGGTCAGGGAAGCAGGTTAGTACTTGTGTCACTGCATGACTTTTAAGAAATTTTGAAGTTGCATTATAACAGAATGTTAGGTAAGGTAGCAGGGCTGTGATTAAGTTTTGATTCACCTGTAGCCTTGATTTCACACATGCTTAAACTTGTTACTTTATGGCTGAATTTTATCAGCTGTATCAAGAGCCCGTCAAGCACACTCAGGTTATGGCCCTTATTGACAGTTATGAGGAAGTCCCTCTCTAGTGATATTTGGCTTGACCCTAACTGGCCCACGTGCATACATTTTGATAATAATTTATTTTGAATGAAACCAGATGACTGAAGTTTTTCTCATTTTCAACATCCTTGACTTTGTTTCTTTTGGTGTTCTGAGACTATTGAGAAAAGCAAGTAGGTCCAAGTAGTATGAGATGTGAGGAGAAAAATAATGGCATTTGTAACAGTTGACTGTTGATAATAAAACTTGCAACCTAACTTGATGCAAATTCTTGGAAAATTTTGGGACTCGTGACTGGATGACCCTTTCTAGCGAGACTTTTGTTGAGTGAACGTTTTGAGTTTTGTAGAGTCCCCCCATTTGAACATTGTAACAAGTGAAAGCCAATTTATTATGTCATCAGCTTTTTGGGCTGGTTTTGGCTGTACATATTGGAGTCAAACGAAAATCTCTTGATTCACAGGTTGTTTCCACTGTCTTGCTTAATCTCCTTCCAGAGAAAGCTAAGCTACTGAGTATGCAGGGAAAAGCCAAAATAGCTGGAAAAGTAAGTCCTGCAGAGAAGTCCTGATGTCTGTAGATGCCTGTTGTTATGCACTCCATAATAAAAGCATGATGATATAATTAAAAAGTCAGACTCAGTGCAGAAATTGTCAAGTATGAAACAATTATAAATAAGGCCAACAAGGTTGGGTAATCTCTTTTCATATCAAAGATGACTTCATAATTTATTACTAGTTCTCACTGCCTTGTTTGTATAGTTGATTGTTATCAGTTTCGCAGGGCAAAATTGACACTCTGTTTGGTGTCTTTTTAAGAACTGGATCACTGGTAAAGCCAAACAGCAGTTCCTTGGATTACCATTACTGAAGGGTGATGACATGTCTGAGGCTGAGGTAATTTTTAGAGGTGGCTACACAGTTTTGAAACCAGTTACCTTTCATATCCCACAGGAAACAACTGAAAGTTTGTTACTGCCAGGATGTGTTGTATTTTTGAAAGCACAAAAAAAATCAGATGATAGCTAAAATTGGACAAGGCTGCAGGTAATTTGGCAGTCAGAGGAGCTTTTTGAATGTAGTTATTTTTAAATTGAACTTGTTACAACCTGTTAGTTATAACTCTTGTTCAGGAAATTTAGATGTGCACCCAAATTAAGAATTAATGATAGTAATGTTTGTATGTGTGCTGGTATGGGATTTTGGCTTGATACCATGAGTCAGGTTTCTGATGGCACTTGTTATTCTGACTGCCAGTTGTCTTGTGCACATTGTTCTTGTGTGCATGCAGGTGGTCATCCGGCAAGGACAGCTGTTGTGTGGTGTGTTGGACAAAGCTCATTATGGACCCACTCCATTTGGTCTGGTGCACTGCTGTCATGAGGTATGTTAAATATAAAGAGTAAAGCCTGTATTATGTAGGTTTCAAACAGCTATGAATTTATGCAGAACTTTGTGTAATTCAAACAAACTTAAAGACTGCACTGACACCCTGCTATTTCAGTGAGATTGGCTTAGAACAAGGTCAAGAGGGATGAAACATGATACAATAACACTGCGTAACACAGCTAAATAATTAAGACAGATTCTGCTCAAGCAATAAGTGCAAAAATTGTTTACTAAAATCTACTAATAGCATGGTAACTTTTGGAATACTATCTAAAAACAACTCACTTTAGTTCATTTCTGTAAGTGACCTCGCAATTGAATTCTAAAGCATTCTCATGAAACTTAATGTCAACCAACATAAGAATGCTTAAAGTGTGTTGTTGTGTTTTAACTAAAGCGACACATCTGTTTTAAGTGAAATATGAATAACTTTGAGTTCAATTTTCTCTCAAGGGGTCAGCTTGAGGGCTTAAGTCTCGATAAGTTCTTCTTGACTGTATTCAAAATAATACCATGCCATGAGGTTTGTTTGGTAACTTAATTTTTGCCATTATTGCTCGAATGTTCTGCAGAACTCATCTTAACCTAAATGTTGTGGCCAACAATGGAGGAAAAGCAAGTGTCTGAAGGGTTTGTCTAGTCAGATTAAATCACAAAATAAATGTAACAGTAACAGTAACATTTTTTTAACGTGGAAAATAGAAGAGCTATCCTCCTTCCCTCTTTAGCTCCTTCCTATTACATTTTTTCGTGAATCAGCTGACCAATGAATAAGGCTTTCACAGTCACTTGTGCACTGAAATCTTACCAAACAGAAATGATTTCCTCACTAAGAGATTGTTTTTTTTTTTGTTGTTGTGATTGGCAATGTTTCCTGTTTGTTCCATTTCTGACTCAAATACTCTTTCTGAATGAAGAGATAATCTACATTATGTAATTTTTTTGATTGATAGCATTAATTTGTTTCAAAATCAATGTTCTGACAGCATGACTGAGAGGCTGGTGGGGCACCATGCGATGCCTAGGGACTATTTAAGGTTTTGGTGGGGGGTTTAGGTCATTCTAGGTCAGTCAGTCTTAACAAATTATTTAATTATTGTAGAATACCTTTTCCTCAAGGCATCCTGGTGCTGCATTAGATGAGGAATACATTTCCACAAAAACCAAATTTTTGGCCATCTAAAGGGTGGTTTTTTAGAAGTTTATCGTATCTGTCATAGTACAGGTTCGAATTCTTAGAACCAATAGTTGTAATGTGTGGTGATACATTAGGATACTGTCTGAATGGCACATCCTCAATAAACTCTTCACATTGAGTGTCTCATGTGAGCATAGTCAGAATGAGGACATTGTTTAAACATGTGTAGTCTAATAAATATCTCAATACAGGCAGACAAAGCTACAATGTAACAGAACAAACTCCCAAATTAAAGTGTCCTGTCACAGTTATGAATGTTCTTGACTGTCGAAGATGAGACATTGAGAATCACAAAATTGATAAGCTCTACAAATTTAAATTTTTGCAACAGGAAATGGACCATAGAATCGAGAGGAAATCAAATACTGCATTTTGCCATTATTACAGTACTGTGAATAAATTTATATGGACGTTGCAAAATGATATAAAGAAATGCATTAAGTTTATGAGAAAAATGTATTTTCTTTTAAACAAGTTTACTTTAAACATGACAGGTTTGGAGATTTTGTGAACACAGTAATTTTCTATATTCAGAATAACTTTTCTCTTGTAGTTGTATGGGGGAGCGATGGCTGGTGACCTGCTCACTGCATTAGCCAGAGTGTTTACAACTTTCCTCCAGTTTCAAGGCTTCACTCTTGGTGTTGAAGACATCTTGGTTAAAGAGAAGGCTGATAAGAAAAGGCGCAAATTTATGAAAAAAGGGAGAGTGTCTGGAGAAGAAGCTGCTATTGAGGCTCTTGGTCTGTCTGATGACTGTGATAGGTATATTAGTTTTATTGTGTCATGTTTTGATCATTGGAGACACACCTAAACACATTAGACACAGATTTACAGAAGAAAAGGTGAAATGTCAGGTCATTTTAGAAGTCCTGTACACTTCTACATACAGCTTCAGACATTTTTGAAAATCTTTAGATAAACATAGTGTACCCTACATGTAATTTGCAAATGACTGGAATTTCTCTTATCCCAGGATTGAAATAATAACTTGGCTCAGAAATTACTGGCAGTGTATCGTTGTCTTTCAGNTACAAACAGCAAAGGAAGGCCGCAAAGCCTTCACCTATCGCTTGTGCGACTTACTTGTCTATCTAAACTTGTACGTATGGAGGATATGTTCTTATTATGAGTTTGCCCCTGAACGCAATTTTATCCGATACTGTTTAAACCAAAATCCACCCCTAAATCTTCTTTTAAAAGCTCCAATTAAAAGCACTCTGCTGAACCTACAAACAGCAAAGGAAAGTAGCAAAGGAACTCCCAGAGTGCATTTTGCTTCCACAGGGGGATAAAATAAGCACGACAAACTATGCGAAATCACTATCCAAAGGAATGCATGCATGCCAGCATAAAGCGATGACATCACACAATACATCATCGCTTAAAAATGGGCAGAGGTATTACTGACAGGAGCTGTCAAAGTAGCTTCAGAAATGCTGTATGAATTCATTGCAGTGTCTCATTTCGCTCATCTTCCGATGCCCATGCTACTCGCAGTTTGTGGCTTCACCGCTTGCCACTTGTATGTCATGCTAGCGGTCACAGTTGCACCTTCACTTGTTTTGCATCCTTCCCCATGGATTTTCAAGCAAGAGAGACTGCTAGCAGTCTAGTTTTACAAGGTATGTCTGTTTGGACGACAAAGTGGCGGAAGATAATCACTTGGCTTGATAATGCAAAACCAATCAAATGCAAATTACTTTTGACACTCAAGTGAAAAAACACTCTTACCAATGACAAAATATAGTATGAATGTGTTAAAGAAACTATAAAGTATATCACATAATTATATAGGACAGGATGGTAGACACAACTTCAGAAAACCTGAGGCATAGCATGGTGTTTAAAAATATTCATTTAAGATATAATCCTATGTCTAGCATTATGAGAAAAGTTAACAAGACACATAAAATCTCTCATTATCTACATGAGATATGTATTATTCCCTAAAGGTCAGCTCTAGAACAAAAGCTGCAAGAGGCTCACCATAATAAAGATGGAAGTGACATGAAACAACTTGACCTGAGCATGAAAAAGAAAACAGACCACTACCAAGACCTTATCAACAAGGCATGCATTCCCTTTGGTCTTCTCAAGAGATTTCCTGACAACAATCTTCAGCTGATGGTTCAGTCTGGAGCCAAGGGATCTTCGGTCAATTGTATGCAGATTTCATGTCTCCTAGGACAGATTGAACTGGAGGGACGTCGTCCACCCCTCATGCTTAGTGGAAGATCTCTGCCATCATTCCTTCCTTATGACACTAGCCCCAGAGCTGGAGGGTTTGTGGATGGACGGTTCTTGACTGGAATCAGGCCCCAGGAATATTTTTTTCACTGTATGGCTGGAAGAGAGGTACAACTACAAAAATACAATGCTTAATATTACAAGATAAGTGATACTAACATTCAGAGACTTTTTTATGTCCTGTTTTGACCAATAACTGTTATTACAGCTGTGAAAAACTGGGCCAGTGCAAATACAAATTTTAACAACTGTACTGAAAAAGTGTTTCAAATGTACATGTAGACAAAGAGTCCAGGATTATCAGTATGTTGGATTATAACCACTGAACTGCCATGATGCCTGGATAATGTCATTTTAGGTGGCTGACAACAGTGTACAGGATTTTTTCAGCACTTCTACTTTGATGATCAATATGACCATTCTTTTTATCTTGGAGAATAGCTATTTTTCAAGTTGTAGGTATTGGTGGGGTGGGGGGGGGGGGAGTTCACTTCTTTGCTCCTTCAACCCTTCCTTAACTTCCTGTAAACGTTTTTGTGAATCCACTGACAAATGTATAAGGCTTTCACAATATCTTGCACACCAAAGTCGTTAAGTCACTATCAGGTGGATTTTACAAAACACACTACAAAAAACATTACCATATAAACACTATCTACTAGATTTTGGTTTATCAGGTGGACAGCATTATTCAGCCTTTTAACAAAATTTGTTAAAAGGCTGAATAATGCTAGTACTACATTAACTAGCATTCAGCCTTTTAACAAATTTTGTTAAAAGGCTGAATAATGCTAGTTAATGTAGTCTGTTGTTTTCTTAAGGGTCTTGTGGATACAGCTGTTAAAACAAGCCGCAGTGGTTACCTTCAGCGCTGTCTTGTTAAGCACCTAGAAGGTCTGCTGGTCAATTATGATCTTACTGTGCGGGACAGTGACAGCTCTGTAGTACAGTTTTATTATGGTGAAGATGGCTTGGATGTCATGAAGACTTCATTTCTGTCTGAAAAGCAGTTCCCCTTTATGGCAGGAAACTACAAGGTTTGCATTTTTTGACAAACGGTATAGCTAGTGAATAAGTTTGCTCTTGAAAAAGAATCTTCATTAGCTGCTAGTTGTGCTACATTTACATTAAGTCTGTAGTTTTACACTTGAGATAACTTAACTGTTGTAATAAAATGAAGGATGACCAGGAC